ATCCCCTCACTGATTACACTGTAAATGATAATCTACCTTAACCAAAATCAAAGTAGACTATCACTCACCCACACCAGATGGAAAACTCTACAGACTGTCGGTTCACACCCCATCACAAGCCAGCAAAACATCCAGGAAACAAAGAAAGGTCTGTCACAGCCAAACAATACACTCCAGACACGCCGCTGGCACTAGAGGCACAGCATGGCCGCCTAGTAACGGCCCCGACATATATATATATATCGTCACAAACAGAATTCATTTCAAAAGTTCCAGTCCGGAGGCCGGGGACCTCACAAATCAACCCGGGGTATCTGACAGCATCAGCCAGCTTAGCTTATAGGCGATAGCCTGCAGAACTCTCCACTACCAAGTTCCCAAATGCGTACTAAATAGTGCAGATGTCTTTTTCAAAAGCATCTCAGACAGTTCTTGTATTCAAGAGGTAGGCCTCTAATCTACAGTTCCTTGATACTGATGATTCCTTCTTAATTCATGAATGCTCTATTCTGTGACAAGCTCTACTCCTGCTACTGCTGGGACTAAATCGGCCCAGCGGACCCTGTCCGCTGACCTGGGTCCAAGGTTTCTGACACCCTCCTAACTGGCCCACTGTGGCCCTGTAAACCGAGTGCCCTGGTTCAAATTTAGTGATGATGTCTCAAGGCCGTCTCCCTTTTTGTTATTAAAAAAAAAAAAAACAGGGCCGGGAGAACTCGGGGTTGAATTGTGAGGTCCCCCGGCCTCGATTCTGTGGTACTTCGTAATGGAATGAAGCGATTTTTTGGTTTTAAAAAACAAACAAACAAACAAACAAACAAACAAACGAAGGAAAGTTCCCAAAAAAAAGAAGAAAAAAAAAAGAAAAAAACGAAGGTAAGTAGAACAGTTGGAGCATCCAGCGGCTCGCAAGTGGCATTCAGGAGGTCGTGGGTTCAATCCCCATTGCCTCATGTACCTTCCTGGCCATGCTTGGCGCCCGCCACCTAGAGATAGACCACTGGATCCCCCGATTGGCATTTAGCAGGGTCTGTTGATGTTCATAGGGGAGGGGACCTGAGGGGAGGCACAGGGATTGGTCCTGTTGGCATGGTCCCTGATGCTACCTGCTGTCCCCTGGCCGGTATCGCCCACCTGCAGGTCGGGAGCAGCCCCTGCATGTTCTCTCGTGAACACGGTTCTGGCTGCTACGGGGTTCCCCGTATGCCTACAATTAGGAGTAGTGGTGGGTAGGTAGTGTGAGGTGAAATTGAGAGAAGAAAAAAAAAAACGCCAAAGCTGCAAGCTGCCCAAACTGCTTCGCGGTTTCCCCACGGCCGAGAAATGCTCAGGGGACCTACTTTCCGTCGGTCGGTGCGACTTTCCCGTGGCCGGGAGCTGCTCGCGGGACCTGTTTTCCGTCGGTGCCAATTTCCCGTGGCCAGGGGGCCCTGCTCGAGCGAAGGACCTGTTTTCCGTGGGCCCGCGGATGAAAGGATTTTTTTTTTTTTAAGCCCAACCAATTCCGTTCATCTATAGTTGGAACCAGATTCGAACTCAGTTACTGTTTTTTGTTTTTGTTTTTGTTTTTGTTTTTTTTTACTGTATTTTTCAACAGTTGATGGGAGTACCAACTGAGCTCCCAGCGCACTCCCATCCCAATAGGGCAATGTGAGGGCGAGTCGCGACTAGAAAGGGCCTTGCTCCACCACTCGCCACATGCACGAAAGACAAAAAAAATAAAAATTATGGCGGTGCATCTTACCCACGTTCTACCGGAAGGTTCATTCTATCTAAATTTGCGCATTCGGTGAGTGGTGGAGCGAGGCCCTAAGGGCATAATAATAACAACAGTAGCACTTGATGGACCGAATCTGGCCATTTTTTTAGGTCAGATACGTCAATAGGTGGTTAACTGGGCCCCCAATTGTTCAGAGTTTGGTTTAAACCCCCTACCACTGAAGTACGTGTTTGGACTGTTTGAGATATCGATCGAGCGAGCGCTTGCTCGCTCGCTCGCTCGAGAGAGAGAGAGGGGGGGGGGCCGCGCGTAGTGGGAAGCAGGTGTTTGCACTGTTTGACAGACTTTGACAGACTTTGACAGACGCTCGCTCGCTCGAGAGAGAGAGAGAGAGAGAGAGTGGGAGAGAGGCACGGTGGAAAGCAGCGGAGGAAAGTCCGCACGCTTGCTGTCTGTGGACTGGACGTCGGTCAGGTGCTGGATATGGCTTCCATTAGCTGCGTAGCCGGCATTTGCCACAGTGTCACGAATTGCGCGGCTGTTGAACCTCGAGCGACCGTCGGTAGTACCGAGGCAAATCTGCGAGGGAAGATCGCTCATGTGAGCGGGCGCCATTGGTTCTCATCGACCTCATGTGTCGCTAGTGCTCGTGCTGATGTCGACTACCACGTGGCAGTTCATGCCATCAGGTCTTCCTTCCCTCCCTCTGTTTCTTGTTCCCGCTATCGCCATCCCTCTCGCTTGATTGGCGCTTGTTTCCCGCCGATTGGCGGCAGACGTGTGGCGGGAAAGGTTTGTGTTGTTGCGGATGAACTTCGCGCGGGTACCGCCGCCGCCGATGTTCTAGATCTCCGCAGTCACCATCGATTAACTCAATCATCATCATCATCATCATCATCATCATCATTGTCGCCATCATCATCATCGTCGCCATCGCCATCGCTATCAACATCATCGTTATTGTTGTCGTCATCACTTTCTTGTGCGTCTTCTCCTCCTGCCGCCGCTCGCCTTCCGGCTGTGGGTATCGGCAGGGGTCTCTCGGTGCAAGGGGCTCTAGCTCTACCCATCAGAGGAGGAGGAGGAGGAGGAGGAGGAGGAGGAGGAATCTGGGAGGGGGTGGTCATTCGCAGCCAGCCATCGCTTTTAACGTCGCGATCCCGACTTGGTGTTTCGTGCAGCTTCAAGACAGTGGCTATGGCGATCGCGACGGATGCACCAGCTCCAGCAGAGAAAGAGGAGGAGGAGGAGGAGGTACACGCGGCAAGAGAGAATGCAGAGACGAGGAGAGCAAAGCTGAGTCCTGGTGATGCCCTGGGGCCCGAGTACACGCAGGGGAGTAATTTCTACAACAACGACGACAGAAGGGCGGGCGTGCTTCTGCATCCTACGTCGTTACCCGGTCCGCACGGAGCAGGCGATTTCGGTCCAGGTGCGTTCGCCTTCCTCGACTGGCTGAAGTCTACGGGGTGCTCAATTTGGCAGATACTGCCACTTGTGCCCCCAGGAAGGAAGTCCGGAGAGGACGGCTCACCTTATGCCGGCCAGGATGCAAATTGCGGAAATACCCTTCTGATCTCCCTGGAGAAGCTCGTGGAGTATGGCCTGCTTGAAGAGTCTGAGCTTCCTCCACCGGTCCCTGTGAAGCGCATTGATTTCGAAGCCTTAGCTGCCCTCAAAGATCCGTTGATCGAGAAGGCCGCCACGCGGTTGTTGCTCAGCGATGGCGCTCTCAAGGACGAGTACGAGACCTTCCGTGCCAGTCCTAACGTCTCCGGTTGGCTGGAGGATGCGGCCTTGTTTGCTGCAATCGACGACGTTCTGAACATGCAATTCTGGTGGGACTGGCCGGCGGAGCTGCGCGACGGTGAGCCTGCTGCACTGGATGAAATCCGCACGACCAAGAAAGAGTTCATCGACCGGTTCTGTGTTCAGCAGTTCTTGTTCCAGAAGCAATGGGATGAAGTCCACCGGTATGCCAATGAAGCTGGCATCAGTGTGATGGGCGATATGCCCATTTACGTCGGGGGACACAGTGCCGATGTGTGGGCCCATCGGTACCTTTTCACACTCGACCCCGAAACTGGGGCCCCAGTGTTCGTCAGTGGTGTCCCTCCGGATGCTTTCAGTGCCACCGGCCAGCGTTGGGGGAGTCCGCTTTACGACTGGGCGGCAATGGCAGAGGACAATTACTCTTGGTGGATTCAACGGATGCGACGGGCGTTCGAACTCTATGATGAGTACCGGATTGACCATTTTCGTGCGTTTGCTGGGTACTGGAAAATTCCGGCGGAGGAGGAGACGGCCATGGGGGGAACATGGAGGATGGGTCCAGGGATCGACTTCTTTAACGTTGTACGGAGTACCCTTGGGGACTTCAAGATTGTCGCGGAGGACCTGGGGGTAATCACCAAGGACGTGGTGGACTTGCGGAAAGCCATCAATGCCCCTGGGATGTCAGTTTTGCAATTTGCCTTTGGTGGTGGTCCCAAGAACCCCCACTTGCCTCACAATCATGAAACCAATCAAGCAGTGTACCCGGGGACCCACGACAATGACACCGTGCTGGGTTGGTACAAGAGGGTGGAGGATTGGGAGAGGGAGAAGGCATCTCGGTATTTGCACTTTGACGAAAAGGAGGACGACGTCTCTTGGGCTTTCATCAGAGCGACCCTTGAGTCCGTCGCGCAGATTGCGATTATTCCAATGCAGGATGTGATGCGGCTGGACAACTCAGCAAGAATGAACATGCCAGGGGTCAAGACCGGAAATTGGGGGTGGCGAATGGGAGAGGTAGACGTCTTGCAGAGAACCCTTTGCGATGAAGCGAAGATGTTCAAGGACTTGGTAAATATGTATAATAGGCTACCGCTGAATCATCCAGCAGCCAAGGAAGAAGACAAAGGAAAGGAAGAAGAGGAAGCAGGCACAGCAGATGGTAGTGAAAAGGAGAAGATAGACGACAGTTCTGCCGCAGCAGCAGCAGCAGCAGCAGAAGATGATGAAGGTCAAAGGCCTATTCTGCACGCAGATGTTTTGTCCGGTGCATCTGAAAAGAGTGCAACAAGCTCAGGCTGACAATCATCATAGTGTAGACAATTGATGAGCTTGATAGGATAATTACCAGTCTCAGACAGAAGAAGGAAAACAGAAAAGGGATCACTCTCAGAGTCTCGGCATCTATAATTAGCATTGTCCGCAGAAGGATAGGATTCTTTCCATGTTTCATTTCTGCAGTTTCTAGGACTCGATGGTACGATCTCCCATTCATTGGCGAGGATTTGTTGGTCCTTTTGTCTTTCTTGTCTTGGTCCCAGTGTAAAATGTGTTCTCACTATGTTAACAAGTTAGCATGTGAGCCTGTGATGCACACAGCTCTTTTTCTCTCTCATTGAATATCAAAAGATATATATGTATATTCACAGAGAACTGCCCTTTGAACCTATGTATAGTAGTATACTCACAGAGATCTGCCCTTTGAAGTTTGAACCGTAGGCAGAAAGGTAGAACAAGACAAGAAATGGGGGAGTGTGATATATACTCTTTCGTTGGAGTTTCACTGGAGAGTTTCATACATGCGGTTTGCATTTCTTCTGGCTCCAGTTGTCTTAGTCTCTCTTCCTTCGGCGTCTGGTATTCTGATCGCCATCTTTTGTCTGCGTCTCTCTCTCTCTCACAGTAACTCTCCTTGCATCCAAAACCAGCAGATACACACACACACACTCTCTCTCTCTCTCTCTCTCTCTCTCTCTCTCTCTCTCTCTCTCTCTCTCTCTCTCTCTCTCTCTCTCTCTCTCTCTCATCCACACAAGCGCCCCCACAAGCACCCACCCATAAAGACGCATCCACAAACACGGCATTCAACCTCCTGAAGAGGCGGTGAAAGTCTGACAAAACAGTCCGGCACAGTCATACTTTGCCGGACTGCTTCTTTTGCGGAGTTGTGTTCAGTGCATATGATAACACACTCGCTACAGCCTCCAGAGAACAATCTAGCCAATCCTTCCCCCTCCACTAAACCTGTCCAGCCTGCGTACCTTACCTGTGCAGATCAGACTGATTTCTGCTGGCGCTATAGAGGTGCCCCCCTCGGAGGATGGTGGCTTTGCCATGCCATTGTGTCTCCACACAGGCATAGTTCGGTTAGCATGATGTACACACCATAATCTCTGCTCAGAACACTATGAAAGGCTGGTCACTGCCAGCCTCCTCTGCAGTGTAAATGGTGTCCCGTTGTCTTCCATTCAACCCCCCCTAAACCCCATTATTAGAGTTACTGCTCGTCGACTGTTATCATGCCATTGTGGCCTTGACGTCCCATGCTTCATTAACTGTGAGCGCGAGCCTGCTCTCCTGCTCTCCTGCTCTCTTGCTCTCCTGCTGACTTGTCAGCAACGTGCCATGTGCTGCGAATGTCTTCAGGAAGCTGTCATGGAGAGTATGTGTCTCTCTATTGCATGGACTAATCCCGTCGATTCCCCGATGTCGGCAACCGCCATATCCTCTCTGTGCATCTCCCACCTTCAACGTTGTGCGTCCTCCGGCTGCACCCGTGATCGCCCCCCCCCCCCCCCCCCATCCTTGCCAGATGACGAGCAGACGCATAACCTGAGGTGGAGAAAATATTCTCACACGAGACACGTACGGTGGACTGAAAGGTTATTGCTGCAAGGGCAAGCTGTTGCAGACCAGATCTTAGATCTTGTGACAGCTAAACGCCCTTTACTTTGGATCAGGCCCCATCATCGCCTGCACCTAGAGAGGGAATACTGGCTTAGGAAACCCAAGGAACTTGCTCAATGCTGCACTGTGAGGGCCCACCTGAGATTCAGCTAGCATGTGATAGGCATGCTTTAGTGTCCTGAGGATTATGCAGTTATAGCCCCTGCAAGTCTTTGTTTTCATAATATGATGAGATTCAATATTGTCTTCATATACAGCACCCTGACATGGCATGCCCTGTTTGTAGACTGGAATGACAATGCCTATACACTTGTGGTTGGTGTGCCTCTGTGTTCCTAGCATGTGGGAGCCATGCAGGCTGTGGCATCAGTCTCACTGAGCCATTATGCAGCCTACATGACACCCGCGGCCAACGAGGCCTACCTCGGGCCCGATTTTTTGGGTATTTGTATTTTGGTCAAAACCTAAGTAAATGTATATATGTTGTCACAAGAATATCAGAGCACAAATGCGAAAAAAAGAAAAAGAAAAAAAAAAAGAAAAAAAAAAAGGAGAAACAGGAAAAAATGAATTCAGTTTTTTATCTTCTTCCTTATAACTCCCCCTGTTCAGAACCTCTTGCGTACAAGGCCGCCCACGTGGATGT